CTGCGGGGAACTCTGCAAAAAACGCATCTTCGCACGGGCAGCCCGTGCGTTGGCCATTTATATTAATTTTAGTGTGTGTTGCTGTCAAAAAATGACATTTTTCTTATAGGCCTGGTTTTGAAGTAAGCCCAAGTGGCAAGTGTCAGACATCAGGTACGTGTGAGCCGTACATGCCAAATGCTTGTGATCAGCGGAAGCACGAGGAATGTCTTCCCGATGGCAGCTATGGACAGTTCACGTGTCAGTGCGCCGCCAACCATCGACGTCATCCAGTCACGCAGATTTGTTGTAAGTCCGATCCACTTACTGATTAGCTGGATTTTTGGCTTTTTCTGCTTTATTTTCACTTTTTTTCCTTTCCTGTACAAGTGAACCTCGAAAGAAGGAGCCACTGACAGCTTTGCAAACGAGTGATTGGTGTTGGCACTTAGTACCCTTGGCCTACTTTCCAAGTACCTTCGCTTCTCATAGAAAGCGAATACAGCGGGGAGTGAGGGGGAAGGGTTATACACTTTCTCATTTGTGTCACTTTTTGCGTCATTCTACAAGTTAAATTTTTTCTCCTTTCAAACATTGTGCGTAGAGTATTAGGACTTCCAAAATACATGGCAGTGCAATTTCATTCTCTAGAAGTTTATTCTTTTCTAGAGAAGTAGACGAGTTCATTCACTTTTCGCAGCACATATACTCACTCCTTTTGCCTTTAATCAGATAATAAGAACGGAAGCATAAATAGATCAATATTTTGACGGTGATTTTGCGGAACTGAATCTATTTTATTCTCGTGTTTCTTCTGCCACTGTGACAGCTCCTCCATTATTTTTGTGCGTTTTTTGCAGCTATGCAATGCGGAAAATGCATATTGACGAGAGGTTGTCTGTTGTGTGCGTCTGTCTGTGTGTGCACAGGGCATCTGTACCGATTTTTCATCTCGAGACCTACAAAAGTTACAAGGCTGAAACTTTGGGGGATTAATCTACATGTCCGTACGGACTCCCATCCCTAAAATGGGCGATCTTACCCGTGTGGTACCCAAGTAAGAGCGCGCCAAAGTTTTTTACAGGTAAGTTAATAACTCGCGAACCAAAAAAGCTGAGAATCTGAAATTTTAAGGGAATATTCCCTGTCCACATTAGTCACAGCAAGCTCAAGCCCAGCCTTCGGTCATGCGCGGTACCTACGCACGGGTTCACCAAAGTTTTCCTCGGGTAAGTTCATAACTCGAGAACTTGAAAAGCTGAAAGACTGTAGTTTTAAGAAGATGTTCTCCATCCAAGTAAGTCTCAATGAGCTCAAACCCAGACATCGGGTATGCGCGGTACCCGCGTGCGGGCTCGTGAAAGTTTTTTTTCAGTAAGTTGCTAACTCAGGAGCCAGGAAAACTAGAAAGCTGAAATTTTAAGGCGGTGTTTTACGCCAGTACTGGCAGCCAGCCTTAATTCGTTTAGCTTGAAGCATTTGCCGAAAAGACCGATACCGGTAGCGACAAAAACTGCAGAGAACTATGCAAAAAACGCATCTTCGCACGGGGAGCCGGTGCGTTGGCCAAATGTTTATTTTGTGCCTCTCTCGTCCACATAATTTCATATAGCCCCTGTATTATCTAACACTGCGTGGGTACCATTCAATAATGCATCTTATCCACCTGTATTGTTACCTGTTTTACGTCATACATTTTTCGGAATTAGTACTTTTATGCAGAAATTGATGTTGCAGTGATAGACGAATGCGCTGCTGGAACGCATGACTGTGATAAAAACGCCAAATGCGTTGATACTGATGATGGGTACATTTGTACATGCCGTGAAGGTTACATCGACGAAAGCCCTAATCAGTCTCGAAAGCCGGGCAGGATCTGCAGACAACGTACGTTTGATAAAATTAAAATTAAGTTTAATAAAACTAAGTTAAAAGCTCTGTCGAAATAGACGGGAAAAGCGTGAAGGAGCTGAAGGATCAAAAGATTAAGTAAGGATGAGGTAAGACGTTTCAGTCCAAAAGGTCATGAATGTCTTAGCTTGGTATCGTCACTCTACCTTGCTAACATGACTGACTGTTGCGATACAAATTTAGAAGGCACAACAAACCGAAATATTAATTTACGTAGGAAATATCTAGTAAAGTTACGTGTTCGAAAGGATCAGATAAGTTTCATAAGAAATTTTCTTCAACTTATAGAGGAAGGACAGTGCACAGCAACTACCTCAGTTATAATCAAGCAAATGACTGAAATTTTAAGATGTAATTGGAGCAGTTTTGCAGTGACCGATGAATGCGCGCAAGGGACACACAACTGCTCAGTGAATGCATATTGTATCGATCTATCAAAAGGATTCATGTGTCGGTGCAAGGAAAATTTCATTGACTTCAGGTGAGCCCACCTGTTTTTGCAGCTGATAATAGTCCTACTTCTGCAGTTAAAAAAAGAGGAAATCGGAGTGCCCATTTTCACCAGCTCAGAACACTTTGATTTACCGTACTTGTTAATACCCCTCAGCCGATAGTTACCTGTATTTAAAACAGTTCACCATTAAATTATATTCGGAACGCTACCAATGATGTAGCAGGCAGCCCTGACATATTCATTCATCTTCATTTCACGGCTGTTTTGACCAGTGCTCCACTGTCTGGTGGTCTGCCTTCTGGCGATCCTTGCATTCCATTCATCTCCTGAAGGGATTACCAGCTCAAGAGCTGTTCTTTTGACAAGAGCATTTTAGCAGGTTTTTAGCTAATTGGCGATTCAACGTATATATTGGGCGTCACCATTTCGTCCCCCTAGCGTTGCCTCTTTCAGTCTACGCGAATACCATGCCATCTGAGTGGCCATTTTCCAGTAAATGACCGATGCACAGCTGGGGAATCGTTGAAAGAGCAGATGTCTGTTTGTTTCGCACCTCCGCCAATCTCAGTTCTAAGTGATCTCTCGAAGAGCATCATTTTCGCTTGAAAATTTGTTAAGGAGCCATTAATGATCTGCACATATGCATTCTCAGCATCTTTTCATAGCCCAGTGTTCCTCTGGGTTGGAGACCTTTTGAAAATCGAAGCAAACTGAATGTAAAGGAATTTTTTATTCCCTGCATTGTATATTACACCTTTTTATTCACTGACTGAATATCGCTTTCTAAATTCTGCCTGCTCATTTAGATTTTCATCGAGCGCCCCCTAATAAACCAGTTGCAAGAAAGTTGAGTGACCGGTCTTTTTTTGTTTTTATATCACATTTACTGTTTATAAGTATTTTTACATTTTAAATAGTCTTAACACAACAACCGTAGCAATAACAAGGTCCAGTAGTGGTGCTAAATAGGAATGTTTGCGACTCGACAGACCGAAACATTCCTGTTCTAACTCTTATGTTTTAAATATATATAAAACATATATATATATACATATATATATATATATATATGTATATAACATTACCACAGTCTTTATTTAGTGCCAAAAAATGAACTAGCATAAATTAACGGGAAGAAATCGCTCTGACATTTAGATTGTTTTACCATTCTCTTCTCAAATGTTGACTCCGCCCGGATCCATACGCACATCTGTTTAACTGTTTCAGCCCGAATCCTCAGCATTTTGGTGGTACCACATGTAAACCACTGGTGGATGAATGCGCCGACAAATCGCTAAACACGTGCAGTGAGAACGCAATCTGTATCGATACCAGAGAAAGCTACAAATGTCAGTGCAAGGAAGGCTTCATCGATCACGACGAACTGCGTAATCCTGGCCGAATCTGCGAAAAAGGTTTGCCTAAAACAAATATTCTGATTGTATGTCAGACTCCCGTTCATTTAGGTTCAAATTTAGACTGGTTTTGGTCAAATATTGAAAAGAGGAAGCTGTGTTGGTCCAATTTTTTGAAGCAAATTCGCAAACATTTTGCTTCGAAAATCCTGAAAAGAACCTCCTAACCGTGTTTTCTTCCTCTGAGTTTATTTTCTGCATGCAATTTCATTTGCGCACCTTTTGAAACTGGTCCTTGGTAGCTTTTCATGGAAGAGTACTGATGAACTAATGAATGGGGGATTTCATACCAAAATGCATCGCGAAAACTGGAATCAGAAAAAGTAGTATCATCGGATGTTGGTCCCACTCCCTCTCATTAAAAATGACCTCAGCCTTCTTTATACGGATACCGTAGCTGTTTTTTTGCAAGCAATGCAATTTTTAAGTTTGAGTACTGCAAATTTGCATATTCTATAATAATTCATGAAATAAACGATCAGTTGGTCAGCGCCCGATGCATATTAGACAGGCAGTAATTACTTGCTGGGCGTATACAGCTTCGGAACGAAAGGCCTGACAAAGGTGCAGCTTGCTTGTGGGAGCATCCTGGTAACATCATTGACATGGAATCCTTGATTATTCGGGTGGTTTTGGTATCCCTGGTATATTAATTTATTATGCGTGTTTGCCTATATGCAAATTGCAAAAACGCATATTGGGACGGCCCTGTGTGTGTGTGTGTGTGTGTGTGTGTGCGTGTGTGTGTGTGCGTGTGTATGTGTGTGTGTGTGTG